ATAAAACCACTGGTATCAGATTTAAACACTACAAAAACCTTGACGTCTCATGAGAAAAAATAAATTTAAAAATAAATATTGAACGGCATTTCTTGCATTGATTACCGGCCTCAGAAATTGCATATAATATAAATGTAATGTGGAGAAGAAGAAATTTATTCTCTTATTAAAATGTTTTCAAAATTAAGCAATGTTGCCAATATTAAGGCTTAGTAAATACTACGTAAGACAATTTAGAAGGTTCAACAGCATTTGGCAACACTGTATGAATTAATTGCATTGCCAGCCTTAAATGAAATAAGAGTAGGATTACAATTCATGATCCTAATGGAAAATATGTAATTCTCTAATTAAAAAATTTTGCCATATCGAAAATATATTTTTTTCAAAATGTATGCAAATATTTTAATGAATATTAAATAAATATTACGACTTAGTAAATGCATCCAAATTTATAATTTTGAAGGTTCATCGGCATTTGGCAACATCTTTACTGCAACATATTGGCAACTCTCTAAGTATAAGTTGCATTGCAAGTCTCGAATCTAAGTGAGAGTGGGACTACAACTCGTGATTATGATGGGAAATATATAATTTTCCATTAAAAAAATATTTTCCTAATTTAAAATATTAATTTGTAGTGAAATGGTGGCTAAATCGTCTTTCTTTTTTACAACATCTCAAGTATTCTACTACAAAATATTCCGCATAAAAATTTAAAAAATACTTTCTAGGATTTTCGAGTAAACCTAGAATCTGTAGTCTAGCTAGTATTTAGAAGAAAGAAACCAGTAGAATTTTGACTAAATTTTATTGTGGCAAAAATACCCGAAATAACATTCTGATAATCTCCAATATGTTGGCAACTCAGCCAATTTACATGTTAATTTTTTGAATTTTCAACCTGAATACTTGGATCTACATGAAATCATGGCTTAATCCACCGATAGAAATTAACTTCCTTTTATAATTATAAAATTTGTACTTTCAATCGCGTTATCTAAAGTTCTATTCTTACATATTGGCAACACTTAATAAATCGTCAGTATTGCCAGCTTTAATAATTTATTGAATCTTAAAATATTTACTAGTCAGCTACAATGAAATAATTTTCATCCTGACATTTTTACCTGTCTGATTAAATATGAAATTACCAGCATATGCAAAAAGAGACTGTAGTTGCGAGGTCGCAAGTATATAGCTAACAGAGGGCTAAGCCAAAAGGGTGCGTAGTAAATTGTGATTTTGTAGTAATACGAAATGTGGCCACTGCGATAGAGACTAACAGGAAGTTATTTTCGAAATATATAGTACATTATATAGTGAGTTAATTACTTCCGTATGGCCGATATGTGATAAAAGATATTGAAAACTTCCAGATCATGTAAATACCGTATGATGGAATAACTGAAGCCTGTAATATGAGGCGTTGGAAATTAGTCTTGTGTCGTTCGTGAACGACCTGGTTCAATTGAACGAGTCAGTCCACTGAACGAGTGATCTACATAGTTCAGTTTTTGTTATTGTCGTTCATTGAACGATTTTGTTTACCGAACTCAGTCGGTCTCTGAACGACGTTGCTCACTGAACGACATTGTATTTTTTTCTACACCTTCAGTGTTGTTCACAGGTTCACTGACTTTGATCAACTGAACGGCGTCAAATAAGAACAATTTTTTACGTATAGCTGGAGGGTCAGTAAATAATATGAAGCGACATTTAAAAGCAAATCACCCCCATAGACAACCGTGGAGCTAGAAAGCACGGAAAAGAGGCAAAGGTGTCTGGAGCAACATCTACCGCGCAAACAAGTGTGCTGTCGGAGTTATGCCATCGACCACCACCCATTAACAAAGTGGAGAAAATATATAGGAAAGTTCTTCGAATGATTTTGAAAGGTAATCATTCTTTACGGTTGGTTGAACTGTCAGATCTTAATTGGTATACGCTGCCATGCCAATTGAACTGAGTATCCATTTGGACGATATAAGCAACTGAACGAGGAGAACGACCTAGTTTACTTTAAAAAAAATGATCTAGTTCGTTCGATCACTGAACTGAACGAGATTGCCCAAGACTATTGGAAATCTGAAGGGCTTCTCTTGCCTGTATTGAATTATGTAGCAGAATTTAAGTAGTATAATTAGAAGGTGACTGGGTCGATCACAAGCGTCAGGTTGGTCGAGGTCTGTAGTTGAATTGTTTACATCGATATCTTTGGCAAAAATACAATTATGTAAATGATTAGCAACTATGAATAAGACTGTAAGATTCAAATATAACGAATGAAAGATTTTGAAATTAAAGTAGAAGACCCCATTCTAGTGAAGGCAATCGAAACGTTAACAATTGCCAACTTTTACTTTAAACAGCGTTACCAAAAGGTATGCTCTCATATGTTGGCAACAAAAGTCAATCTTTAGGATTTGGCAACACTTGACAAAACTTTAGTATTGCCAGCCTTGAGAGAAAAACAATATACCTTCTGATTAAATTGTAATTTTAAATCTCCGATAACGCGGTATTTAAAAGAGGTAATGGAGTCAAAAATAAAATTCAAAACTTTCTGTAATCAGCCTGGAAAGAAATCTCATAACATAATATGATGCTGGCAACTTAAAGCAGAACTGTCATAAGCAATGATCCACGAATTGCAATTATTGTCCTTAATTACATTTCAAATTAGCCATGAATATCGTACTTTCATAAAACTCTTGCGGAATCAGAAGAATTATCTTCGTTTTGAAAATCCTGATTTTATATCTGTCAATTTTTAGATCGTCAATCTGTACGGTATACATCTGAAGGTTAAATTAAAGAAAAACCTTGGCCATATATAAAAACTAATCCTCTTTAAGCAAAAGCCTTGAAAATCTGATATTGACAACCCTTTACTTTCAACGGGGTCACAAATAGTCATACGTTGGTAACACGAAATCAATCTTTAAGATTTGGCAACACATCACAAATCATTAGTATTGCCAGCCTTGGGAAGAACAAGAGATCATTAGTCGCTTTGCCGAAAGAGTTATGTTACATTTAAAGGAGGACAATGATCGCAAGTACATTTTTTTGTATTAAGGATTCGATGTCTAAAATAGCTCAGATACTTAAGAAACTAAAATATTTTTTATTATGGTTCCTCAAAATTTTGTAAACTATTTTTCGTAAATAAATACCCCTTCAAAATTCGGAAAAATATATTTAAAACATTCCCTTTTAAATATTTACAAACACATTGATTTATCTCAATTCGAATGGTTACCCTGACGGCTATCTTCTTTACTGGGAGTAGGAATCCCCTCAAAATGGGGATTCCGATAGAGGAACTCTTTTAAATTCACCTCTAGGCAAGGTATTGAGTTCCGTAAAAGAGAAGGTTTTTTGTTTCTCCATATACATAAATAATTTTAATTATTATTATTTTTTCTAATATTTTTTCCAAGAATAGTGCATTTAACAAGGTGTGAGTATCAAGGGGTTCATAATGGGTATTCAAAATTTGTGTTTCTAAAGGACCCGCATTAACGAACCATATAAATATATATATTTTTTTTGTAGTTTTTGTGGCTTTCTTGAAAAGGCCAATTGCTGGAAAAATATTTTTTTCTATTTTTTTTATAAACATTTTTTCTAAGTTTCGTTTAACAACAACAATTTTTTAAACCAGAAAAAAATAAATAAATAGTTGTAAATATATAAATTTGTATAGTCAACATCAAAAGCTTTTGAACCAAATTTTCGTGTTTTTTGTTTTGTTTATGTATAACATACTTGATTGTTTTTGTTGTATAAGTTTTCATATGATATTGCTGATATTGTTGGTTGTATCATAAATAGGTTCCATTCAATTTTTTTTTTTTTGTAGATTTTTCCAAGTTTCATAATTTTTTTTCGAATATTTCATTAGAGTCCATAGTCCAGGGAGAGAGAGCGTTGAGAGTCAGCCGTTGAGAGAGTCAATTTATTCATCTTCATCGTAATTTTGATATGTGACATAGCGTACAGCCGAACGTTCGCCAACAATAAGAGACTGGAAAAGAGAGAGACAGGAGAAAGGAATGAGTTTATTAAAGTGGGGAAAATACTGATGAATAATAGCATAGTTTTAGTCCAGCTGAATTAGGTTTCTGATACGAAATCTGCAATCTTCAATTCAGCCTAGCTGAATTAAGGTTTTCATAGGAAATCTTCAATTCAGCCTAGCTGAATTAAGGTTTCGATAGAAATTCTTCAATTCAGCTTAGCTGAATTAAGGTTACTATAGGAAATCTTCAATTCAGCTTAGCTGAATTAGGTTTTTAGTACGAAATCTTCCATTCAGCTTAGCTGAATTAAGGTTTCCCTAGGAAATCTTCAATTCAGCCCAGCTGAATTAAGGTTTCCATAGGAAATCTTCAATTCAGCCCAGCTGAATTAAGGTTTCCATAGGAAATCTTCAATTCAGCTTAGCTGAATTAAGGTTTCCATAGGAAATCTTCAATTCAGCTTAGCTGAATTAAGGTTTCCATAGGAAATCTTCAATTCAGCTTAGCTGAATTAAGGTTTCCATAGGAAATCTTCAATTCAGCTTAGCTGAATTAAGGTTTCTATAGGAAATCTTCAATTCAGCTTAGCTGAATTAAGGTTTCTATAGGAAATCTTCAATTCAGCTTAGCTGAATTAAGGTTTCTATAGGAAATCTTCAATTCAGCTTAGCTGAATCAGGCCCTGAGGGCGTTAAAAGGCAGAATACAAAATAAAAATTAAAACAAACTGAAAAACGTATGACAAAAATTAAAATATTTATTTAATTGTTTATATAAACTTATAGAGAAAACGCAACATAAGAGTTATCAAAATATAATTAAAGTAAATAGCAGTATTTTCTATAAGAAAATCTAAATTTTGGAACATAAATAAGAAATTAAAGCAAATACTGTGTTGGTATCCTCTGCAGATGTTCCAAGCACTTCACAAAAAAATTAAATATTTAAAAAAAATTATAATCTTAAAAATAAATTAAAATTAAAGCCTTTCACTTTCAGTGAAAGCCGCATTTGTGACACCGTCATTTATAATGGCAGGACTTGTAGCTTGTATTGTTGTAATCTCATCGGCAGTTGGTGCCCCACCAGTAATACTACCCACCTTCTTCTCCTCTCGTGTCGGTGGATTCTTCAGCAGTGTCAGCAGCGGGGCGTAGAGGAAACAAATAATGGCAATGCCAAACAACATCCATTCGAAGCCAATTGTTTTCACCAGGGTACCACTTAGGGCGGGACCGACGGCGAAACCCAAACAGAAAGCCACATCACCCAGGGCATAAACGCTACCATACACAGCGGAGTGGCGAATGTCAACCAAATAACCCAATTCCGGCATCATCGATGAGTCCACCATACCAATTGCAAAGCCCAGACCAGCATTGGGGATGATCAAATGGGTTATCGAAGTGGCCATGGGGATCTGCAAATATAGACCAAATTTTATAGGAATTCCAAATTTTTAAAAGTCTTTCAACTCACCATTATCAAACAGCCACCAATGATGACCAAACCCAAGCATGCCGCAAACCATCTGCCTATCTTATGGCCTAGGGGTCCAAACAGATTTGTGCCAATTAAATAACTAATCGAGGCCGGTAAGAAAGCCACACCCTGTTCCCAACGACTTGAGCCCATGTTATCCAACATCCACAATGGTAGGGAGGGTTCCAACATTGCAATACCCATATTGGCAAAGGTGATGGAGCCTGGAATTAAAAATGACAAAGCCGTGAAATATGTTTTCTATGGGAAATCTCCTATTCAGCCCAGCTGAATTAAGGTTTCGATAGGAAATCTTCAATTCAGCCCAGCTGAATTAAGGTTTCTATAGGAAATCTTCAATTCAGCCCAGCTGAATTAAGGTTTCTATAGGAAATCTTCAATTCAGCCCAGCTGAATTAAGGTTTCTATAGGAAATCTTCAATTCAGCTCAGCTGAATTAAGGTTTCTATAGGAAATCTTCAATTCAGCTCAGCTGAATTAAGGTTTCTATAGGAAATCTTCAATTCAGCTCAGCTGAATTAAGGTTTCTATAGGAAATCTTCAATTCAGCTCAGCTGAATTAAGCTTAATTAATTCAGCCCAGCTGAATTAAGGTTTCTATAGGAAGTCTTCAATTCAGCTTAGCTGAATTAAGGTTTCTATAGGAAATCTTCAATTCAGCCCAGCTGAATTAAGTTTTCTATAGGAAATCTTCAATTCAGCTTACCTGAATTAGAGTTTCTATAGAAAATCTTCAATTCAGCTTAGCTGAATTAGAGTTTCTATAGAAAATCTTCAATTCAGCTTAGCTGAATTAGAGTTTCTATAGAAAATCTTCAATTCAGCTTAGCTGAATTAGAGTTTCTATAGAAAATCTTCAATTCAGCTTAGCTGAATTAGAGTTTCTATAGAAAATCTTCAATTCAGCTTAGCTGAACTAGAGTTTCTATAGAAAATCTTCAATTCAGCTTAGCTGAATTAGAGTTTCTATAGAAAATCTTCAATTCAGCTTAGCTGAATTAGAGTTTCTACAGAAAATCTTCAATTCAGCTTAGCTGAATTAGAGTTTCTATAGAAAATCTTCAATTCAGCTTAGCTGAATTAAAGTTTCTATAGAAAATCTTCAATTCAGCATAGCTGAATTAGAGTTTCTACAGAAAATCTTCAATTCAGCTTAGCTGAATTAGAGTTTCTATAGAAAATCTTCAATTCAGCCCAGCTGAATTAAGGTTTCTATAGGAAATCTTCAATTCAGCCCAGCTGAATTAAGGTTTCTACAGGAAATCTTGAATTTAGCCCAGCTGAATTTAGGTTTCCATAGGAAATCTTCAATTTAGCCCAGCTGAATTAAGGTTTCTATAGGAAATCTTCAATTCAATTCAGCTGAATTAAGGTTTCTACAGGAAATCTTCAATTCAGCTCAGCTGAATAAGAATTTCTATAGGAAATATTCAATTCACCTTAGCTGAATAAGAATTTCTATAGGAAATCTTCAATTCAGCTTAGCTGAATAAGAATTTCTATAGGAAATCTTCAATTCAGCTTAGCTGAATAAGAATTTCTATAGGAAATCTTCAATTCAGCTTAGCTGATTAAGATTTTCTATAGGAAATCTTCAATTCAGTTTAGCTGAATTACGGTTTCTATAGGAAATCTTCAATTCAGCTTAGCTCAATAAGAGTTTCTATAGGAAATTTTCAATTCAGCCCAGCTGAATTATGTTTTTATTGAATATATCAATACTTACCAGCCGCAATCAAAATATATGGATCGGATATCAAAGCCTTCAGGGTGGGTGGTTCCGTTTCCGCCTTTTCTATCGAGGGTTGTAACATAAACAACTGCAGCAGACCATCACCCAAAGCCAGTACAGAGAGAACCAAAAACGGAGCCGATTTGCCAACAAATTCATACATTACCCCGCCAAAGGGTGGACCAATCAGGACACCCAAAGCCAAACCACCCAGTGCAATACCCATGGCATTGCCACGTTCCTTGTCATCAGTAAAACGATCTGCCAACATGCCCATACCGGAGACACTGCTACACGATGAGCCAATACCCTGTAGAGCTCGAGCGATGAACAGTACCGTATAGGAGCGGCCAAAAGCGAAGACTAGGGGGGAGGAGGATATTCAATAGTTATTTTGAAGGGTTAAGGGGGTGGTGTAATTTTTCCTAGACTTACTTAGGGTGGACACAAACATAATTACAAAGCCGGCAAACATGGGTATGCTGTAACCAATTCTGTGAAGAGAGAGAGAGAGGGGTATAATTGTTTTTTAAGTTTTTCTTTTGTTGTCCTTTATGCTACATACTTGTGAGTCAATGGGCCAACAATGGGATTCACCAAAAGCTGTACAAAGGCCTTGGATGCGAACAGCAGGCCCACCTCCACCGTTTCACCCACCAGCTCCTGATGCCGCTCCTCCAGTTCACGATAAAGTGTTTCATTTTCTAAATTGCATTAAAAAAGTCATTTAAAAATTATTTTTGCCATTCTACGGCCAGCCAAGGCAACAGTCAGGTTGCCAGCAATTCAGCCGATCCGTCAGCCACTCTGTCAACCACTTGTCGCCTGTTTAATTGCCTATTAAATACTTACCCTCCGGACTTAATGTGGAGACCTCTAGCGAGACATCATCACCATCTTTGCCACAGGGTGAGGGCGTTGGTGTCGGTGGCACATGAATGCTGAGGGGTGTACGTGGATAGCTGTCCAAAGGAGCGTCTGGATGCCGTATGTCGTACAGGAACTCAGGTATAATAGGAACTGTAATCAAATTTGGAAAAAAGTGTTTAGTTGAAAGGAACAACCTCGTCAAGTAGCGACAACAAAATTGTGGTAATTAAGTTGTTGTTGTGGAAAAGGGGTTCCAAAGGAAGTGCAGAGTTGCCAACCATTGTTTGGAGACTTGAAAAAAAAAATTATAAGTTTCAAAGAGGAGGAGGAGATGCTGAGATTTTTTAATTGCCGAATAGCCAGCATCACTCTTTAAGGCGAGGGCAGGTTGAGGTTAGCGTACAACAATTTGAGGTTAGGCTACAACACTTTGAGGTTCGGAAAATGAAAATAACTAATTTTAATTGCTTTTAAAAAATAAATAAAAGTCTGGAAGGCAGCTAAAGGGTCCTGACAGTGATATGCGAACAGGACAAAGATATTTTCACTTCATAAAAAAATAATTGATTTAAAAATCTGCAAAACCACTCAAAGGCTAATATCAATGAAATTTGGATCCAAAGGACCTATAAAGTCCTGACAAGGATATGTGAACCGAATTAGCCCACCATATAAAATAATTGCTTAAAAAGGGTTATAAAACTCAGAACGGCAGCTCATAGGCTAACATCAATAAAAAGAGGCTTACAAGGACATATAAGTCCCTAAAACGGATATGCGATCCGAAGAGGGATAATATCAAAATCTGAACTGCATATCAAAGGTGTGGCAAAATCCTGTAGAAACCCCTTTTTCGTTATAATACCCTGAAGAGAAGCCTACAAGATCCTGACAAGGATGTTCCCATCCCCTGCCAAAAAACATTCCACCATCTTTCCCCCAACCTCAAACAAACCTAAAATTTTCCACTAAATCCCTATCCTCCACAAAACATATTGCATGCATGCTAATCGTTCTGACAGGACTTACCGCCCAATCCAGCAGTATACGATATCCTGACCATATCCTGGTTGTCATGCAAACATTTGTTGTTTATAAATTCAATTTTACAATTGAAAAATAAAAACAACTTCAAAATTTAAAAGGACTTGAAGTGTTCGCCATACCAGACTGCAGGCGAACATTGCCATCGACACCCATGGTGTGCGATTATCCTTGAGGGTTTCATTGTTGCATGTTCTGGTTTGGTTTTGTGTACTTTGCGGTTAGGCTATCGGAACACTTCATAATTGCTTTGGCATAATATTGTGGCCATATTTAGACATTTAGCTACGAATACACACAGACACACAGCGGAACTAACGGAAATGGGTTTATTAGGCTAACGAAGTTATGCGGAAAATGGATATGACTCTTCAGGGAGCAATTAAATAAACAACAAGTTTAAAGGATATTCGTTTAACAATTTGTAGTAGCTTAATAAAATAGGGATTCCAATAGAAAATCGACAATTCAGCTGAATTGAAAATGTCAAAGCGGAAACTTAATTCAGCCTAGATGAATTGAAGATTTCCTATCAAAAACCTAATTCAGCTGGTCTGAATTGCAGATTTCCTATCCAAAACCTAATTCAGTTAAGTTAATTTGAAGATTTTGTATCAAAAACATAATTCAGCTAGGGTAATACCCTAATTCAGCTAAGCAAACTTGCCGATTTCCAATTAAAAACCCAATTCAGCTAAGCGAAATTGCAGATTTCCTATCAAAAACCTAATTCAGAAGATTTCCTATGGAAACCTTAATTCAGCTGGGCTGAATTGAAGCTTACCTATGGAAACCTTAATTCAGCTGGGCTGAATTGAAGCTTACCTATGGAAACCTTAATTCAGCTGGGCTGAATTGAAGTTTACCTATGGAAACCTTAATTCAGCTGGGCTGAATTGAAGCTTACCTATGGAAACCTTAATTCAGCTGGGCTGAATTGAAGCTTACCTATGGAAACCTTTATTCAGCTGGGCTGAATTGAAGCTTACCTATGGAAACCTTAATTCAGCTGGGCTGAATTGAAGCTTACCTAGGGAAACCTTAATTCAGCTGAGCTGAATTGAAGCTTACCTATGGAAATCTTAATTCAGCTGGGCTGAATTGAAGCTTACCTATGGAAACCTTAATTCAGCTGGGCTGAATTGAAGCTTACCTATGGAAACCTTAATTCAGTTGGGCTAAAATGAAGCTTACCTATGGAAACCTTAATTCAGCTGGGCTGAAATGAAGCTTACCTATGGAAACCTTAATTCAGCTGGGCTGAATTGAAGCTTACCTATGGAAACCCTAATTCAGCTGGGCTGAATTGAAGATTTCCTATGGAAACCTTAATTCAGCTGGGCTGAATTGAAGATTTCCTATGGAAACCTTAATTCAGCTGGGCTAAATTGAAGATTCAGCTAAGCTGAATTGAAGATTTCCCATGGAATCCCTAATTCAGCTGGGCTGAATCGAAGCTTACCTATGGAAACCTTAATTCAGCTGGGCTGAATTGAAGATTTCCTATGGAAACCTTAATTCAGCTGGGCTGAATTGAAGATTTCCCATGGAAACCTTAATTCAGCTGGGCTGAATTGAAGATTTCCTATGGAAACCTTAATTCAGCTGGGCTGAATTGAAGATTTCGTATAGAAACCTTAATTCAGCTAAGCTGAATTTAAGATTTCATATAGGAACCTTAATTCAGCTGAGCTGAATTGCAGATTTCCTATCAAAAACCTTAATACAGCTTATATAAATTGAAGATTTCCTATGGAATCCTTAATTCAGCTGAGCTGAATTGCCAAATTTCTGTTGAAATCACTATTCAGCTGAGTATATTTCTTATATAGGTCATATAAAAATTATTCCTAATCATTAATTTCAATTAATTTCTATTAAAATGAGAATTAAATGATTTTTTTCGGTTCGTTTGGTTTCATGTCGACCTGTCATATCACGATTATTACCGAACATAACAATGAGCAAAGACATAATTTAATTTAGAAATTATGTTAATAACAACATATATGTATGTTGGAACCACCATACCCCTAACCCCTCCCTAATATCCATCAAGGCCACTGACGTCTTTCCCTAAAATCGGTTGGTCTTTGAGAAGTTCGGGAGACTAGCTCCCTTTTTCCATACCTCTCAGCTCCGTCCATGTGTTGTGACAGCCACCTTTAGGCTGTGTTCAGCTAAGTTTTGCATGTCAAAGACACTTTTAACCCCACAAAAGGAAGGCAGACTTTGTGCGGGAGCCAGGGAAACTATCAAAAAAGTTTTTCGCTTCTGCGTCGGGTCGGTGGTGGAGGAGGGGAGAAGTGATTGTTTTTGGTCGCCAAGAAACCAAAGACTTGGATTTGTTTGCCCTGTAATGACATTCGTTGATGGAGGCATAACACAACAGTCGCGTCATGCACACATCCTGACGGGTGCCGGTTAACAGGATTCGATTTGATTAATTTTTGCAAAGTTTTATTGCTGAGAACTTAACGACCTGCAAGACGCATTAAAATATGAAATCGTCAACAATTTGGGAATCTGCCAGTCGACCATTGTTTGTACGCACCATTTGGCTGGAGGGTACGGAGCTGAGACCTGGACTTCAGAGACATTTCCTACTGGATTATGTAACGAAGAGGCCATTTGAGAGATTTAATTCGGCCGCGAATCCCATAAGGCAGAAGAGGAAGAGTGAGTCCAGAATTTGGGAAATCAAAACTATTTTTAATTTCCTTTTCTTCTCCCTGCAGCTACCCTAAAGACCTCCTATTCCTATGAATTGCAGGAATATGAAGACCAATATACCAGTGATGAGGATATTTTCCTAATAGATTCCGCAAAATTGAAGCTTCACGAACCGCAAAAACAAAATCTAATCAAAAGTGCAACTAAATCAAACGGTAAACCTCGAAGACCTTCGATACTCTCGCGGAAATATCAAAGCTACGATAGCTATCACAGTAAATCGGCAAATCCCCAATACAGATTAACGGATTTTTACGACTTCTATTCCCGGCGTAGTTCCCTACAAGATTTCAACAACGAAAAGGCCTCGACTTTGGATGAGCGTCTGGCGGAAAGGGTACTCAATTGGCTTGACCTGGCAGGTAATGAAGATTTTGTAAAAAATCTCCAAGACTACAAGGAAATGGAAGTGAAACTCACCAAGACCTCTAAGCTGAGGAGAGATTCCATTAGGAAGACTCAAAGCAGTCGGAATAACAGCAACAATAATCCCTATCTCCCCTCCACAACAAAATCCAAATCCGCAAAACTAAAACCCAACCTCAATGAAAATCTCCCTCAAAAATCCCCCGGAGAACCGGTGAAGCATATCACGATAATTTTCAACAAAGAAGGACAGCCGATACGCTTTAATCGTCCGGCAAAAAATATTGACCTGTGTGCCTTGTCGGCAAGTCCCAGTACCACGCGAAGGCTGGCCGGTACCCTTGCCTCAGCAAGGCTATATAAAAGTGCTGAAAATTCCCGATTGAATACAGAACGTTCTCGAGCCACAAAGCAGAGGGCAAATGGGGACCAGGCCTATTCAGCAAGGCGTAGATTGGATACTGTGGCCGATTTGACCAATTCGAATTTACAAAAACGTCTGAAGGATAACACCTTGACGGGTAGCTACAATAGTTTACATGACTCCAAGAAGCAGTTGCACATATTTATGCCCACCCTCCCGAAGAAGGGCGTGGTAATGGGGGCCTGTGGCACAGAGGATGGGATCAGTGAGCTAAGTCATAATTTAAGTGAATATTGTAAAGTGTAACCGAAGAAAAGATAATAAAAATTAGAAAGAAATTAACTGAAGCCTAATTCAGCTGTCTTCTATTGTAGAATACCCTTTGGAATCGTAATTCAGCTAAGCTAAAATGCAGAACTTCTAACAAAAATCTAATTCAGCTGAGCTGAATTGAAGATTTCCTAAGGAAAGCTTAATTCTTAAAGTTTCTATAGGAAATCTTGATGTCAGAATGACGGAATTGAAGATTTCCTATAGAAACCTTAATTCAGCCGGGCTGAATTGAAGATTTTCGATCAAAAGCATAATTCAGTTTGACTTCGCAAAAGGCTTAAAGAAAAAAATAATGTTTTTATTGATTTTT